CTCCACCTTCTAGCTAACACTTACATTTCCTCCAGTCCCAAAATAAAATTAGCCTTTCACCCACTCCCAACCTGAAGGCACCCTTTCCTCTCCTCCATGCCTGCCTGACCTCTCCCTCCGCCCCTACGGTAATTTCTTCTTCTCTCCTCCGCCATGCTTCCAGTGTTGCCAGCCTACGGTGCTATCTGTATATTTGCTAACAGTGTGCTTATCTGCTGGATACCCATGGGCAAACATGTTCTGTATCATTTAATGCCATTACTCCGGCAACTGGTTAATGGTTGTCCTTTATTTGTTATATTTCATGAAGCGTCAACACTGATTATCTCTTTTTCAATATCAAGTGTTTATTACATGGAATCAATCACTGCAGTTGATGCTGGTTGTTGATGCTGCTCATGATGCCTGCGTCATCACAAACCGCAGGTGGAGCTAATGCAGTACCAACTTGATCGATGTCGGTTACATGATACAGCGGCCTCATATTAGGACTCCCCAGTCCAAGATATCAGTTCACAATATACACAAATTCTATATCAGGGACCATCTTTTCTAATAAATTATTATATGCTTATAATGTTTAATGTTTCCAGTACCAAAGGCAAATATTCTCTCAGTAGTTTATTAAACCTGCAACAATACTTTAGGCGGAAGCAGGTTGGAATTACTTCTATAAAGAGAAAACTATCGGCCCAGAGGCAAAACTCGTTTTCATTACAACCATGTCGGCCTTCAAATCCGATGGAGAGATGTGATTGCCACAAAATCACGGTTTGTTATCCCTGCATCATCCCCTCTCAGTGGTCATCGGGCGTGCCTCAAGTCCGTGGTCAGAGGGAATGGTCAGCAAACACGACCGACCGATAATTAAGTCAACTGTTGGAGGGCCAAGTGTCTGGACTGTTACATGACAACCAATCTCTGACTTGAATACCTGTGTCAGTTTCACAAGTCACAGATTAAAACCAATGTGACTCCTGTGTGTACCACACACATATACGTACTTAGTGTGTTTGCTAGCAAATTACAGACGGTGGTTGAACAATCTCTCACACAAGTCATTGAGGAAAGTATTGATGTGGATTTCTGTTCCATCGTCTAGTTTAATCTCCATGTATGTACGAATCCAACAGCCTAACCGCGGCCATATTACCAACTTACGATGCTTGATTCGTGCTAATGTCACGCCTGATAACATCGTAGAAACCGTTTGCTGCTTATTTCATTTACATTTAAAAGACCTGTCTCACATTCAAAACGGGTTTTGTGTGTAATACACAAATATAGGCTTGTTCAATGCCATCGACCAAGTCAGTGGGTTTGTGCAGGTGGAAAGCTACATCCTTGAAGCCATAGAATGGAATATCGAAATGGGGCTGACACAGAAATGCGGTTTGTTTTGCTTTATCAGCAACTCCTCTATCCTGAGCAACAACTATTTCTCAACTTATAGGTCATCTCCGACATGGTTCTCTCATTACTGATTACCATTGAGCTAATTTGACGTCTTAGATATGGTAGAAACCTTTTGGTCCTTGATTGTTTAGATTTAAAGAAGATGATAAATAGAGTCAGTGACGTCACGGTGAGGAATAGTGGTGGTGGGTTTTAGTGGAGTTTTACGTAGCCAGGTTTGTATGCGCTTGTGCGCTTGTGCCACTGCTTTAGCTTTTAAAACAGACTGTTCATTCGGGCAGACAGACATATCTTGCTTGTTTATCACTTTGGAGTGTTTGTATGACTATACCCGGTTTTTAGTCCTAAATCAGCAGTATTCCAATTCAAATCAAGTGTTTATTTCCAAGTATGAACGCCTCAGGCCCATATACAATGCAATATATATACAGTTTTATATACAATAGATTCATTGCAATATTGCCTTAGTTTGCAAAACATAACATTATAGATCTACATATGTCATATATATTATGGTTAACAGATACTGTATGTGTGATATCTATTATCTCAGGTTTTACATGTACTCTCTCTTAATTTATATGCATGCTATAAAATTTACTTAAGCTTTTTAAAACTAGTACATTTTCCGTTGATAGAATTGATCTAAATTTAAACATGTTCTGATTTTGATTATATATATACGGCAGGTATTTAATTCGTAGAGCGCTATATAATGTACAAATAAATAAAAATGGTACTCGTCTTCAATACCTAAATTACAATATGGACATTAACGTTGAGACTTATCTATTCCTAACCACCTAACTTCATTATATTTTAATCTTAATAGACCACATCTGAACTTAACCAATATATTTCTAAGTCGTTTGTCAATAATGCAATCTATATATTTCTCAGGAGCTTAAATGCTTTTATATTCATGATAAATACAATATCTGGAGCTATTATTCAGAGTACAAGTCCAAGATTGGAAGAACATATTAAGAGCAACATTTTTAAAGGCATTAATAAAGGAGGATATATCTCCTACAGATTGAAACATCCATACATAACCAAAACCATGTGAGAATAAGATATTACGTATATATGATGCATAAGAAGTGTAACCACAGTTAAAATAATATAACTGCATTTTATGTACCTTAAGTGGGATCCGATTGTCATGCATATCTAAAACTCGTAGCCAATTTCTTAATGTTTAAGACATTGCGTTAATATAACGCGGATACCTGCCGCATTCCCCATATACAATTGCATTCGGGGTTTGAGGGTTGACATTTAAAAATCTTTTACATGCAATTAAATGAACTTTTTCTAAAATTTAGCAAATGTGTGCATACTCCATATTTCTGTCCCATATAATGAGATTGGTTGTATTTGCGTGTCGAATATTTTAAAGAAAACATTACGGTTTACCATTCCGACTTTACTGAGATTAATAATAACTTCCATTAATGCATGTTTACCTCTCGTCGCTAAATCAGCAATACAGCTTATCATTTATGATTTAAAGAAAATAATACACCAAGGTATTTATAAATATTTACTACTGCAACTCTGTTTTCATTTAAAAACCACTGTTCACTGCTTAGCTAAGCGTCCATCCCTTCGAAAAACAACAATATTGGTTTTATCAAGATTCACCATTATACCGAAATGTTCTGTAAAATCACGTTAAATGTTCAGTTGGTTTTGTAATCCAGGAACAGTATCCGATACAAGTACAACATCGTCTGCAAACATGAGAAGTAGAATTTCTAACAAATCAGGAAAAAGTTGTATACCGTATTTACTATGTTTTGACAGTTCATCTGACAGTGAGAGGACCTAAATGTCCTTGGGACCACTTTACTGATGACTCGACCTGTTTTTCAATGCATATCAATGGAGGACTTTAAACATTTGGGGATTGTCAAAGAAGTGTATTTTGTGTATTTCTTCATTATGTTATACCAAACCAAATTAGAACACAAGAATTTGAAAGATAATTGTGAGTGGGATAAGGGATGCATGTTATACTGGGTTTAAGAATCCATCCACACTTTCCACTTAGATGCGTGACTGCCATAGTCCGACAGTCCGACAGTGAATTTCATGCAGTTGGGCTCACAATCCTCACTGGTGCAAGTGTAAATGAAATGTTTGTGAAAGTCAATCTCGGTCGATATCTGGGATCAATCGTGGGACGGAAATAACCGGGATTACCGCAGTGGTAGTACGGACGTTGAGGCACCACATGTCGTGCACAGTTTGGACGTCCACGTCGCTGCATGGGCCATCATGTGGGATAAAACTGGTTTCACTCTTGGTAGGCGCCGCAATCTTAGAACCTTCTACTAGTTTAGGTAAACACCTGTCTCGTCAATTACATCACTAACATATGTGCCACAAACCGACCTATCCTTCTGCATGTTCTGATCACAAGGATTCGTGTTACCTTCTTAATAGAAATGTATGCACACTCTTTCATATCGATCTACTTGTATAGATGAGTAGTTGTTGCCGCTGAAGTGTGCTGTGTAGGATAGGATAGTCAACGAGTAAAACTTACTAGTTTAGTTCCGTTCTGACCCATGACATGAAGGTGAATAGGAGTCCAAAATATGCATAACCGTATGAAATGTTCAATAACTGATAAAAAAGAAAGCTGTTATACATAACTGTTATAAATATGACACTTTGACGAAGTTATGCAATTAAACATATTAAGGGAAATTTGAATTGACAGTAATGTCTGTGGTATGCTGACTGTCACGAAATTCTGTCATGATGGCAGTTACAACAGCTGCTAAGTTTCTCCAAGTACATATATATATGTCAAACAAACATGTCAAGCTTCTCGAGGTTACTACATCGACCCAAAAGGACTTTTTGCTATCTGAAAATGACAATATTTCCTGTGATATTATCGTGTACATATATATCAATACAGTTTGAATGAGTGACTTTCATGGATCAAGACGAAAGCACTATTCTGAATTTGTGTTAACAGTTAGAATGGGCCTTGCGTTTACAAAGACCCTACTCCAGTGTGTGGCAGAGGTCTTGTTTCCGCACCGCGGTGCGATCGCTCAATCAAACACTGACATTAGACGCAACACCTTTCTGTTTAGACACCCAGTATATTCTCACCAGGTCACTGCATAGCACTGGATATTGACGTTCTTGAGGCAACAATCAAGTCGTGTCAGGGATTTGGAATCCCGTGTTGCTTTCATTCTTGTCCACTCACTCATACAAAACATGGTCTCTCTGTATCTCTGTGTCTTTCTCACTCTTTCTCACTCTCACATACACCACCCACTCACTCATACAACACATGGTCTCTCTGTATCTCTGTGTCTTTCTCACTCTCTCTCACTCTCACATACACCACTCACTCACTCGCGTTTTGAGTCAAGTTGTGTTTCCTTTTTCATACAGGTCATATAATATCCCTACAAACGTAAACAATTAAGTGTCGAATTTCAGAATTGATGATTCCGTCAAATGATACATTGCCCGCGGACTTGTGATGGGCCTGACAACTGATAGTGATCAGCCGGATAGTTATGTCCGTATGGTGATTGTGCTGATAGAGAATGTATTATTTCTTGGTGCCTAGTGTTGTCTACGTGTATGATGATTTCTTGGTGCCTAGTGTTGTCTACGTGGATGATGATTTCTTGGTGCCTAGTGTTGTCTACGTGGATGATGATTTCTTGGTGCCTAGTGATGATTTTTCTTGGTGCCTAGTGTTGTCTACGTGGATGATGATTTCTTGGTGCCTAGTGTTGTCTACGTGGATGAGGATTTCTTGGTACCTAGTGTTGACTACATGTCTAGTGTTGTCTAAGTGTATGATGATTTCTTGGTGCCTAGTGTTGTCTACGTGGATGATGATTTCTTGGTGCCTAGTGTTGTCTACGTGGATGATGATTTCTTGGTGCCTAGTGTTGTCTACGTGGATGATGATTTCTTGGTGCCTAGTGTTGTCTACGTGTTCCTAGTGTTGTCTAGTGATTTTTGGTGCCTAGTGTGTGGATGATGATTTCTTGGTGCCTAGTGTTGTCTACGTGGATGATGATTTCTTGGTGCCTAGTGTTGTCTACGTGGATGATGATTTCTTGGTGCCTAGTGTTGTCTACGTGTATGATGATTTCTTGCCTAGTGTTGACTACATGTCTAGTGTTGTCTACGTGTATGATGATTTCTTGGTGCCTAGTGTTGTCTACGTGGATGATGATTTCTTGGTGCCTAGTGTTGTCTACGTGGATGATGATTTCTTGGTGCCTAGTGTTGTCTACGTGGATGATGATTTCTTGGTGCCTAGTGTTGTCTACGTGTGGATGATTTCTTGGAGTGTTTCTTGGTTTCTTGCCCTAGTGTTGTCTACGTGGATGATGATTTCTTGGTGCCTAGTGTTGTCTACTGATGATTTCTTGGTGTCTAGTGTTGTCTACGTGGATGATGATTTCTTGGTGCCTAGTGTTGTCTACGTGGATGATGATTTCTTGGTGCCTAGTGTTGTCTACGTGGATGATGATTTCTTGGTGCCTAGTGTTGTCTACGTGGATGATGATTTCTTGGTGCCTAGTGTTGTCTACGTGGATGATGATTTCTTGGTGCCTAGTGTTGTCTATGGATGATGATTTCTTGGTGCCTAGTGTTGTCTACGTGGATGATGATTTCTTGGTGCCTAGTGTTGTCTACGTGGATGATGATTTCTTGGTGCCTAGTGTTGTCTACGTGGATGATGATTTCTGTTGGTGCCTAGTGTTGTCTACGTAGATGATGATTTCTTGGTGCCTAGTGTTGTCTACGTGGATGATGATTTCTTGGTGCCTAGTGTTGTCTACGTGGATGATGATTTCTTGGTGCCTAGTGTTGTCTACGTGGATGATGATTTCTTGGTGCCTAGTGTTGTCTACGTGGATGATGATTTCTTGGTGCCTAGTGTTGTTTACGTGCCTAGTATTTTCTACGTGTCTCGTGTTGTCTACACGTATGCGCTTACTGTTGTCTACACGTATGTGCTTATTGTTGTCTTCACGTATGTGCTTACTGTTGTCTACACGTATGTGCTTATTGTTGTCTTCACGTATGATTTCTTGGTGTTTAGTGTTGTCTACATGTCTAGTGTTGTTTAAGTGTATGTGATTTCTTGCTGCCTAGTGTTGACTACATGTCTATTGTTGTCTAAGTGTATGATGATTTCTTGGTGCCTAGTGTTGTCTACACGTAAGATTTATTGGTGCTTAGTATTGTCTACATGTATTATTTCTTGGTTGCCTACTGTTGTCTACACGTATAATTTCTTGGTTGCCTAGTGTTGTCTACACGTATAATTTCTTGGTGCCTAGTGCTGTCTACACGTATACTTTCTTGGTGCCTAGTGTTGACTTTCATACAAACTTTGTGAATAATGTTACTCAAAGACTCAAAGATATATATACACAAGAATGGGTTGTAGCACTGTCATTGTCAAGTAAATGTTTCTATTATAGCATGTTTAAATCTCATATATACAGAGAGAATTATCTGTTTTCACTAAATATCAAGAAATTTCGAAAGGCTTTTGCTCGGTTTAGGTGTTCTTCACATGACTTGGCAATCGAAACAGGGAGATATCATAAAATAGAGAGAGAAAATAGAATTTGTACATTTTGTGATCTTAATTGTGTAGAAGATGAATATCACTTCCTCTTAATTTCCCATTTTATTGTGAGTTAAGAAAAAAAAATGTCCCAAAATATTATTCTGTATATCCCGATAGGGTGACATTTTCTTTGTTAATGAGTACTGATTACAATGTTCTTATACGCAAGTTGTCAACCTTTATCTATCAGGCATTGTCTCTAAGAAATAAACATAATAATTCATAGAATGTATGCACTCATATTGTTATTTGATATGATATGGTTCGATGTGGTGCGATGTGATATGATATATGATACATGGTATGATATGATATGATGTAATATGGTGTGTTATGATATGATGTGATACGACAAAGTATGTGTAATGCGATGTTATAGGATGTGATACATTTTGATGTGATATGACAAATTGTGATGTGACTATATTATTCTTTTCTATGATATTGTGTACTATGTTCTTGTATACTATGGGCCTGTGGCCTTCAGTATGAATAAAGATTGATAGAAGTTAACTGTACATTAGAGCAGTATTTTCTCCGACCTGTATTTAAGGAATAAAGAAAGAAACCTTTGGTTTTGTTTGATTCATATTTTTTCCAATGGGAGAAAATAAATTACCTTCTTCAATTACCAAACATCGCACCAATTGTGAGCGATGTGCGTCTTGATATTGATATTTTGCAGAGCCAGTGAAGTATGATGTGGGCTAGCAATATTTTAACTTAACCAGCCAGTAATCTTAACCAGCCAGTAATAGGTGTCTCAAATCGGCAGGCCTCTGTACCAGTCTAGAAATAGAAATCCATAATGTTACGGAAAACATGGTCACACCACACCACCTCCCATCATCCGCGTGTTGAAATTCAGTTAATTTGGTGGCGATATTTGGCGTTTGTTCCATGTGTCTCAGTATACCAGTGTTAAATGATAACGAAGCCTACATGTAAAACACACATATCGGGCTTTCCACAGGATAATGTTACTCTATAAATGAATTATTACGAAAATGATAAGACAATGACACCATTAACAGACAATAACACTGTGGCTTGGAGACATAAATCATACCATTAAGTGAGAAATCTTACAAGTAATACCCAACCCGGTCTGAGAGACGTTGGCGACAAGAACACATTTCCCGTATCGAAAGGTGTAGGATAATGCTACACTGTCTGTAGACTGAACAAAATAGATTGAAGAAATATATCATTAACTACAGCCAGGTGCATATAGACCCAGCTTGTGTCAGGAACGGATGACTATACGCCAACTGTAAGGTCTGGTTCAAGTTCGAGCGGAGATTCAAATTCATGTTTGTCTCAGAAGATTACAGATGATACGTGTTTATTCTGCCATCAGAGCTAGGTCGCCAATAAGACGGTGCCATTCTCAGCTCAAGATGTCTATATGAACCCCTTTAGTTCCACGTTGTAAACACACTGAGTGTTTTAGGAGAACAGTTCACCGGACGTGCGGGTGAGACCCGTGAAGAGTTAATCCGGGCTTCGGAACTTTAAATACCTTCATATTGTAACACAATCGATTCTTGAGTGATGAAGTCCTACTTGACAACGCTACCAGAATCTGTATCGAAACATCGCTCTCACACGAAATACAAGAAGTTGTTATCCATAAAGGTTGTCAATATTCATGAAGTCCAGGTAAGAAAACGTATAAGTTGAGACACGTTAACGTGGTATGTCACAGAGAGTGAATTAGTCCCAGAATTGACATGAATGTAGTTTTTATGGCTGAAAATGAATACTACAGTAATACGACGAATATTTCCTTGGAGGCATAAGTGGTTCAGTTATCTATGCAAGGTTTCACGAAATCAGTAAACATTTTATCAGTTAGGACTTTTATTCCTGAGATCAAGTTAACCCGGTCACAAAGATGCATTACTGTAGCACCCTTCAAAACGGCGATAAAACTTTCTCACTCACTCTTTCAGCTACACCTTAATCGCAAAGAAATGCTTCAACATTATTATAAATTATAGCTTGTCGGCATGGACATGCAGTTTACATCTGAACATTCTCCGCTGCACGCTCGGTTGTCTCCCATATCATGTTTTCAGTATTGGAGAAAACACTCACAGACACAGCAACCACTGCTGACATGACCGGTTACAGTGACAACTCTGGAGCAACTAACTGTAAGCCACAACCCTATAACTACTTTACACCATGCTTTACGTGGAACATGTATCCGGGAACTTGCTAGAAGAAACTATTGGGGCATATTTATGGCAATGTTATCTCAGCGATGAGAGATTGCGTAACAGCCATTAGGCATTCCGATATTTCTCCTACTTGTATCGTAAATTCAAGTCAACAAGCTGTAAAGAAAACATTTTTTCTTTCTTATATTCGGATCCATTCAAAAGGTGTATTGACGAATACGATGTGGGTGTTTGATTGTTCATAGATAAAGACAGAATATCACGAGAAAGCAGGATTCAACATGGCTCAATATACTGATTAGCAGCATGGCGAACTAATGCTTTTACTCTGGTGCAACAATAGATGTATGATAACTGTTTGAAAAATGCCACAATCTCCAAGGCCGTGATCAAGGTGCTCAGCATGTATTTTATAATTCCATCTCTTTCGTTGCGGGAGCTAAATTATTGATCCAAATAAATGTTCCACTCGCTTACCGACTGAAGTCCAGACTGACTTGCCGGTAAAATCTTCATCATCCAGATGCTCTAATGTGGACATTGAGAAATACTTAGCGGAGGCATCTTCGAAAGAAAATCTACTCCATATAAAGTAAACATTTCGTTGTGATGTTAGTAAATAAAACTGTGTTTCGGAAGCTGTACTTTATGGAGGTGGGTGTTATTTCTAAGTATGTGTGCGTGCCTGTGTGTGCGCTCGTGCGTGCTGTGTGTGCGCTCGTGTGTGTGTGTGTGTGTGTGTGTGTGTGTGTGCGCGCGCGTGCCTGTATGTGCGTGCGTGCGTGCGTGCGTGTGTGTGTGTGTGTGTGTGTTTGCATGCGCGAATGTATGTGTAGAGATAATGGTGGAAGCGTAATTTTGGACTCTTCCGGCTTTTGAGGAGACAGGATACAGATATATATTGTAACGTTGTTAGTGTTTGTCATGTTTTGCAAAATTGTGTTTCATTTGAATTGGTACAAGCATTCTCTAGTTACACGTGTACACGTAAACATTAATTGGCACCTCCTGAATATAATGGCAATGTTTAAATTGTGAACCAAATTCTCGATTCCGTCCCACGATTGATCCCAGATATCGAGTGTCAGACTGTTGACCTATTGCAGTCACGCATCTAAGTGGAAAGTGTGTATGGACGCTTAAACCCAACAGAACATGCATCCCTTATCCATCTCACAATTATCTGTCAAATTCTTGTGTTCTAGTTTGGTTAGGTATAACATCAATAAAGAAATACACAAAACACACTTCTCTGACAATCCCCAAACGTTCCAAATCCTCCATTGATATGCATTGAAAAACAGGTCGAGTCATCAGTAAGTGGTCCCAAGGACATTTACGTCCTCTCACTGTGTCATCTGTCTCTACATATCGCATAAGAATTGCCATAAGCAACGTCCAACTTCTCTCTTTTGTCAGTTAAAGGGTAGTTATGTGAAGACTCACGATCCGATTTGGCACAAAATATAGACAGCCGTATATTATCTTTTCTTTTGATGTCATGAACGTTGTTTTAAATATGTTTAAAAGTCACAACTTGGTGTATTGTGTTCTCGAAAATAAGGAAGTTCCATTAAGATTGCAGGATATTTTTTCAACAAACACTTTGGATCTGAATTGATTGCGAAGGGTCGAGGTGGACGTGTGGTTTGAGGGTCACATCAAAATTCCGAAATGTCTAGCTTCTGGAATCGGAATACGGCTGATGTACGACTAAAGGCCGTGTATAGTCATACATACATTCACTCACACACTTGCAAGAATGTAGTCTGTTGCTTTTGTGTGTCTTGGTTAGTATTAGGTA